AAGGTTTCACCAACCATAATATCTAACATCAAGGAGAAACAGACGTATGTAGTATCATTTAGCTTGAATTAATATATGTTAAAATCAAATTTCACCCAGCACAAGAGGAACTACTGCAGTTTTCTATATTCAATGGAACCAAGCAGTTGTAGGTCTAGCAATAAACGTTTTCCATATGTTTAATACTGATATGAATTTTGTTTCAATTATGTCAGTCTCCAAAGTTAGTAGGAAGCTGGTAATTTGTTAAAGGATTTCCTTTTGTAATTTTGTGAATTGACTATCTTTTATTAGCCTAACATTTTCACTTAGCAGGTGCACTTGCCAAGATGATTAATCCAGACAGATATATCCTGATAGTACATATTAAAAGTGAAAGTAAGCTTTTCTTTAAGTGGTGTCATTAAAAATTGAAAATCTCAATGTGCCATTCTCATCATCCAAGTCAAACAATTTTAATTGGGGAATTCATTATTTGTTGAGTTTTGGGAGTCTTGTTACTGATGCTGGTGGATTTGTTGTTTTAGGTTCCATATTTTTCAGTATAATATATTTTTCAGTATTAAAAAATGCCAGTCGTTGCAGTAAACGCAGATGGAAACCAGCTTATGTTCACATAAAAGCTGGAGAACAAAATTAGAATTGCAAAAATTGCTAAGATGTAGATTTTAAAAGATAACATCTCTTCAAATGTAAATGGAAGGAGGTGGGACATGGCTATTAAGAGATACTGACTCAAGGCTTACTTCCATTTATTTCACCTGTATTATATTTCTTCAAATATATTTCTATATTTCTGTAAAACATAGAAATAACAGACTAACATTTGTGTGTCTAAGATGGTCTAGCAGCCTTTTAGAATGTAGATATATGGAGATTTTCATTCTTAGAATTCTTAGCAAGACATGGTGCCAGTTTAAGAAACCTTTTTATAACTGCCTGGAGTCTAGCATTTCATTACCCTATTCAAAGATTCTTTGAATTAACGAAATTCATTTCTTTGCAAAAAAAAGTACTTTATTGATTAGGCCTAGGATAATATTATATATAAATAAGAATAGTAAAACTAGCTGTTATACTATAGCTGTTTAACCACTTAATTTGTACTAATATTTTTGTAGCATTGGATTTATAAAATAAGTTTTATTGTTATTTTGCTACAGGAATCAGGACCTTAAAGAACTTGGGGAGCTTTCTCCACATTGGGACAATATGCGTAAAAATGTTATTGCACACTGTGATCAAATGTTGATCCTGTACCAAAATATGCTTGCAGAACTTGGAAAATATACAGGTCAGAAAATGTTTAATAATTAAATATATGAATTTGTGAATTTTTATTCTATACAGGTATGTAGTACATATGACCTTTTCCTTTTCTCTCAAATTTATGGAGAAAAATTACAGTATTTCATCTATGATATTACTTGAATGTAAGATTTCTCAGAGTCTAGATCAGGGTTTTTCAACCTTGACTATTTTTAAGCTGTATGGACTTTAACTCCCAGAATTGTGAATTTGTCCTCGCATCTTAAAATTGCCAGGGTTGAGAAACACTGCCCAGATGATACCAAGAATCTCCTGTTTCATTCTCAGGTTATCGGGGTTGCACAAATACTGCCAGATCAGGGCTTTTTAGTTAAAGATTTTTTTTAAATAGATCGTCCACAAAGCCTCTTCATCTTATCAGTTACTTAACAAGTTCAGAATTGAACACTTTGAATTGAACACTTTGAATGAGCAATAAGTTGGCCTGCAGTACTGCATTCTAACCACTGCACCACCGTGGTTCTTAAATATTAAGAGTTTATTTCATTTATTTATTTATTATCAAAATTTATATGCCGCCCAATCCCAAAGGACTCCGGGCGGCTTACAAAAAAAGAGAGAGAAAAAAAAGAGAGAAAAAAAGACAGTTTAAAATCACAACACCAAATACATTCATTCTAATTGGGGCTGGACCTCAACAATGAAGTCAACAGCCGCAGGCCTGCCGGAACAGCCAGGTTTTTACAGCTTTCCTGAAGGCCATGAGAGTGGGTATGGTCTGGATCTCTGGGGGTAGCTGATTCCAAAGAGTCGGAGCAGCCACAGAGAAGGCTCTCCTCCGGGGGCCNTAAGAGTACTTTTACTGGTCATGAGTAGATAGTAGCTAGGCAAAGCAAGGTCTGAGGCAAAAGTGCATGTAAGCATAGATATCAATATGTGACCCAACCCCACAGGTGTCATGTGGGAGACATCTTCAAAAAGCATCATCAGGCTGGAATGCCAGACAGTTGGCCTTGGCGGCAAATCCTTTATCTGAAGCATGCGCAGTAGATGGTGAGAACACCTCCCTTTTACAGTCATTCCTGTGCTGACACTTCCCCACCCACATACTATGCCCCCCCTCCCAGTTTCAATGGCAGCCGAAAGCAAGCAGCAAAACAGAGGCTGACACAAGTTCATACAAATCACAAGTCTTTTGTTGCAAAGTTTTCATGGATTTATGAACAAATATTAATATAAAATGAATTCTTTTAATACTTGGCAATAAAAAGAAATGTAAAATTGAGATATTAAAAACAATTAAAATAGCAATTAAATGACAATAATTAAAACAATTAAAAACAACATTGAAAAACAAAGACAAAACAATGTCTTTTAAAGGCTTTTTAAAGACTAATAAAGATACTAGGTTTCCTCAGAACTTCAGGGAGTATTTTTTTAAACAGTTGGAAGGACAATATAAATATCCTACTCCCATGTCATGGCATCTGGAGGCCAGTGTCCTCATAAGATCTCAGTAAATATGACAGTTCATATAAAAAGGGATATTCTATCAAAAACCTGAAGGATGTTTAATATAGTAAACAGCACATGATATTTTCCTGGAAATAAATTGTAATCAGTGAAATACTTTTATCATAAATATAATAAAGTCAGTTTACTTCTTCCAAAATCAACATGGCTGCTGAATGTTGTATCAACTGAGGTTTCTAGATTTAAATGAAAGCAATCCCACATAGAACACTGTACTCTAGTGAAGCATAGAAATTACCAGCATACACATCACAGTTTTAAGTAATTATCTTTCAAAAAGTTAGCATATTTCCTATCAATCGTTGACTGCTTTAACAATTTGGAAAAGAGAGACATTTGAATCCAGAAGCTCAGGAGAATGAAATCCTATCTGGAACAGGCAAATTTACCTCCTCTCTGGTGTTATGAATATTTTCATCTTGTACAAATTCAATTTCAGCCCCTTTATGAAGAGCATGCCAAGGAGCTACACCATTTCCTAACATAAAAAAATAGATCCTCATGTGAACAATTATGGCTATATAATTGAAGAGAAAATAGATATAAACAAGTAAGACATGGAAGCTAAGTACATTGGTAGTTTAAATGGCAATTTAACTCAGGGAATAAAAAAACCCTTGATAAATGTTTCAAATTAATAAAGAATCCTGCCTTCACACACTTATATTAAATGAGAGTTTTAAATTCCTATTGTCCATTTACTCCAAGTTTAATATTAAATATATTTTACTGACATTTGTGTAATTCTTGCTTTATTGATCTCACCCAGATCTATGTGGAATTTGACACTTGGTGTAGCATCCAATATTAGATCTCCTACTAAACTCCCCCAATAATTTCAAGTAGATTCTGAAAGTGGTAAACCAAGGGCCAATTCCATGTAACAATTCCCATTTTTTTAAAAAAACTGTCTCCTAGTTGCACCATATGAAACCTGACTGAAAAATAGTATAATATACCAATGACTCTAATTTCAAATCTCTCAGACAATTCAGAAGGATAACATGATTGATTGAAAGCTACACAGAGGTAAAAGAGGATAATCAGAGTACATTCTCTCTGCTGATTTCCAAACAAAAATAATTCATTGGCTTACTAGTATAATTTCAACTTTATGGTACACTTTTCAAGTATAAAAACAAATGAGTGGAAGCTTTACAGTCAGACATTCACAGCTGAATGAAGGAGGAATTTCTGACTGAGATTTATTAAACAATAGGACAACTGTCTCTTGAGGTTGTGGATGCTCTGTCACTGGAGGTTTTCAAGGAAAGGCCGGACAGCCATTTGTCCAGAATAGTCTGAGGAGTCCTGCATTGGGCAGGGGTTTAGAGTCACCCAACATTTCTGGCTCTGCGGACCTGCAGGAAGGGGGTGGTGGTGAGAGGGCATGGTTCCATGTGAGTAGCTGACAAGTTTGTGCGCATGTACGCAGTTTCATTTGAGCGAGCGGCATGGACACGGGCCTACCACTCACACAATTGGAGTGCATGCACTCACCCTGCTCATGGGTCATTTCTGTGGCCCAGTTGCAATTCCCCCACAACCCGCTAGTGGGCCACAGCCCATAGGTTAGGGACCTCCTACTAGAAGATGTTCAAAATCCCTTCAAACCCTTCAAATCAGCACTGTTATAGCCTGAGGAAACTCAGCAGGCAATAAAATTGTTGTATAATATGTGCAGGAAAAATCTGCTTCTTTGCTGAACATTGTCACTCCATAGAGCTTTCATGGTTGTTCATGCTGTGCCATCCCAGATTAAAGTGAAGACTTTCTCAATCCAGCTTTATTAATTTATCTTGCCCTTCAATTCACACAACTCTATGTGCCAAGGGACTGTTATTGAAGCAGATTGGAAAAAAATAGTTAGGAAGAGATATATCCTAGCAAGTTCCTATTGCAGACACTAACAATAGAATTAAGAGAATCATTAATAGAACTGCCCTCCACTATTGGCCCACCATCCTAATATTTCATCATGGTCATTTATTTCTTGAGTGAGAACTCTATGTTGACTTGTTTGATTCATGATTTATTTTCTTGGTATACTCAGTATTTTCCAATACCAGAATTCAAGTGTCACTACTCTTTCTGCTTTTCAAACTACAACTTTCACTTACTTGGGAAATATACATTGCAGTATTTTTTGAAAAAAATGTAAGCTGCATTTAAGCCATCCCATTCTTTCTCTTTTACAGTGTTAAAAAACCCAATATGTAAATTATATACGTTCCCCACTTCTGACAACAAGTGGATGTATATACGAGAACAGATGTTTGAGAGCAATCTTTCTTTTCATATTCCCAAGGAACTCATCAGCCTACACATAAAGGAAGATCTCAGAAGGTAAATGAAATGAAAATGTTAAAAAAAATGTGCTGTTAGAAAAGTCTTTAGAAAACTGCTGGTAGAAATTGACTAAAACATTGATTATAGTAATCAACTAAAAGGCGAGGAATTCAGAATTCCAGTCTGCTTGCTCCAGTGGAGGTAAACTGGAGATAACGTAAAAGAATCAAACTGTTGCTAAGGGGCCATAACAGGCGTTAGAACTGAGGCAAGTTTCAGCTAAAGCAGAAAATCTTTATAGCGTTTCCTGGAGAATCTAGTGGCCTACCTATACTAAGTATGGCCAATCCAGATCTGAAATTGCTTTATAGTTGCTTTACAGTATTTTCTGAATTAGCATTCAGTGGGGAAATATAGTAGAAGACTTCAAGAAGTTTAATCACATTATTCTAGCTAGCCAGTTTTTATATGTTACAAGTTACGTTTTGAGTTAACTGGTCTGATAATCAGACCATTAATATTGCCCTAGGTTTATCCATAAAGAAAATAAAATGTTATATATATATATATAACATATATGTATGTATGTATATTGTTATATTTGTGCTGATAAATAAATAAAGGGAGACTAGTATAGATCTATTTCAAGCTATTTAGCTCTCATCAGCTAGCCATACCCTTNATAGATAGATAGATAGATAGATAGATAGATAGATAGATAGATAGATAGATAGATGATAGACAGACAGATAGAATAAATGCATTCAAAAATCTTTCCAATTATCTTCTGCTTTAGCTACTGCCATCAATTCCATAATCTTGCAATTGATTATGTCTTCCAGTTGTTTCAGAATACCTCTGTTAAATCCACGTCCTTTTTAATTTGTCATATAAAAAAACTGTTGAGTTTTTAAAATGTCTTTTAAGCTCTCCACCTTCTGGGACGTAATGGTAGTTTAGCTTGCCATATCTATACATTTAAATATGTGATTATGACAACTTACATATTGTGTGTCCAGAATACATTTTCAGTAGCATGTAACAATGTATTAATTGCAATAACTTGGTGACTCAATTAGGATACATAAGTTTTAGATAACTTCTTAGATATTTTATCACTAAATCAGAATTAACAGACTTAATTACTTTTGGTTCATTTGCAAGAATTTCTAAGCAACATTAGACAAAGTTTAGAAATAAAGTCATAAAATGATAAGGCAGAGAATTAAAGGCATGAGTTTAATAAAAGTAAATTCAGTCAATCTAATGTATAACAAACAACACATTTATTACCTCCAATCCCTCCATTCTTGTCAATGGTCTGTATTTCAACCATGCAATGCTTCATACAAGATCATTTGTTTTTTAGAGTTAGATCTCTTTTTGTTAAAAACCTCTATCCAAATACCATGTTCTTAGTCGTCCCCCCCACCTTTTCCCCTTTCTTTCCCCTCATCCTAGTCACATTTTATGTATTTGTTTTTTTTTTAAATTCTGGCTTTATATATTCATTAGATATGACTAGATCACTGCACAATGTTTCCTTAAGCAGAATGTACATTAAATACATTCATTATTGATCTTTGACACACACACACAAAATTTCATTCCAACTTCCCAATGTACCTTTAAATTTCCCCTGACATACCTAACTCTTTCTTATATAACAAAGTAGGCAGAAGTATGCACTTCTTTCACTTTTTAAGGCATACATTCTATCTACTACTAGCATTTGCACTTCTTAAAACTTTTTACAACTATAATGGCTTAACTTTACTATTTGAATCCAAACAATACACCAAAAAAAATTAATCTTTTTTATTTATTTCTAAATTTTATATAGCTGCCCATCTTATAAAACAAATGACTTTGGGCACCGTACAACAAGATGATAAAAGGAACTTTCCTACAAAATGATAAATTTGTTAATTATGATAAAAATTGTTGATTTCCTACTTCATTGCTTAAGACTTGTCTTAGCGAAACACAGAATAGTCTCTGTATTCTTTGTTCAATATTTATTATTTAGTTTATTTGATTTATAGTCTAAGCTCCCGAAAAGCTAACTGAGAATAATTTTATATAGCAAGTAAAATAATAAATGGAATTGAGCACATAGAATGAAGTAGCTTATCAATAGAGGAAGAAAAGCCAGGAACAAGAATCTTCCTTAAGGCTACTACAAATTACCAAATGTTTTTGTTGGAGCTTGTATAAATCTCTGTTTCCTTCACAATTGTCAAGATAAGGCTTGTGTCTGCTTTGTTTTGATGTACTTCATAATGTAATATGCAACAGATTATTCAGAAAACTTCAGAGAATAATTAATTTCAGCAACACTGCCTGTAGCATTTATTAACAAAAGGTTACCATCTTTTACAAGGCCTACAGTAAAATTTTCTAATCTACAGTAAATTGAGTTTTTAAATAATGTCTATAAATGTGTGACAATGAATTTTATAATACCTTTCCACATTCATTATAAAACTGATGAAATCTTTCATGTACATAAAAATATTATCCTTGTGTAAATATGTTTTATTTTCATTTTCATTTCATACGGTCACATATATACTGTAAAAATATTATCCTTTAAAGCTGAAAATAGTTAATGAATTATTTGGTGTCATGTCTTACCTTGCAGTACTGGGTACCAGTGTATTTATTATTCACCTGAAAACACTGCCAAGGCAAGAGAAGTTCTCAGTAACATCAATCAATTACAGCCTCTCATATCAAGTCATGCAGACATGTTACTTAATTCGGCCAGACAGCAGTTGCCAGAAAGCTTGAAGAATTCCTTAACGATGCTTTCAGAAACTGTAAGTTTCAAAAACAATCCCTACTGTGGAAACTAGATTATTAGATGCCTAGATATTGCTTTGGTCTGTGGAATCTGTCTTCCTCTGTATGAGGAACAGTTGACTACTTACAAGCATCAGATGATTATCATATTCTTTTCTTCTCTGTTTCGATTGTTATCAAGCAATGTTTTTAAACTTGATGCTTTTAATATAAAACAGACAAGTCTGTAACATATTACATTTAAACTAGCAGCTGATGAATAATAAATCTTTACTATTTTTGAAGAATGAGAACTCTCATTTTCATATATATCATTAATAGTGTATTGTTCCCTTTATAATTTATTTATGCCTGATGTACTGTGGCATAACTATAAAAGAAGGAAAATTAAACAGTGATGGAGAAACAACTTTCAACCTGTTATAACTTTGAAGTGCCATTTATTGTTAAGCACATTGCATACCCATATGTTTTGTTTTAAACAAATCGTGGCCTTTTCTGCTTTATTCATTAAACAGAATTTGACATTTTGAATTCAGACATCTTTTGGTCTATTGGTCTTTGGAATAAGGAAAAGGCAAATTGCAGAGCCTCTAATATACTCCTTTGCCAGTAACTTATAATGACATTCATCATATTTTAATGGTATGAAATTATAAATTTGCATTTGAGATAATGAAAATCACCTGGACTAACAGTCATTGATAATCTCATGCCCATTCCCCATTAGTTGATATATCTGATGGTATATGGTTTTTTTTTTAAAAAAAGTTCAATTATGTGTTATGTAAAGGAATACTTCCTTTTACCAGTTATGAATGCTTCCAGGTTTCCAATGAATAATTCTGAATTCTTAGAATTTTAATATGTCCCCTCACTCATGAATTTTGAATTCGCAGAATTCAGAAATAAGGAAGAAATTTTTCCTATTTATTTTTTCTACATGAACCATTGTTATATACTTTTAATATGCCCCCACTCATGTTTTCATTATGATTAATTATTAAATTTATGTTAAACTTAACTGCATACGAAAAGCCTAGACCCGTATAGGTTTTTTTTAGGAAGCTTCTTAAGGACTTTAATTATTTTGGTTGCTATTTCCTTCAATTTATCATGCTCTACAGCAACTTTTAATATTTTTGATATGTAGTAGCCAGAACTATACAGATAGTTCTTGACTTATTACCACAATTGGGACGGAATTTTGGTTGCTAAGCAATGTGGCTGTTAAGGGAATCATCACATGACTGGACCTAATTTTACAACATTTTTACTACAGTTGTTAAGTGAATTATTACAGTAATTAAGCGAATCACATGGTTGTTAAGTGTATTCGTTCATTAAGTGATTCTGAATTCCCCAATTGACTTTGTTTGGCAAAAACCAGCAAATAAATTGCAAATAAATCATAAATTGCAATCACATTGACCACAAGACACAGCAACCAGTTCTGGTCAATTATCAAGTTACCAAATCGTAATAGTACAATTATGGTGGTAGTACAATGGTTATAACTTTGAGAACAGGTTGTCACTTTTTCAGAGGCCATCATAATTTCAAAGTGTTGTTAAACAAATGATGGTAAATTGAGGATTACCTGTATACTATAGTTCAAATGCAATCTTGTTATGCTTTTGCTTCGTTTAGCTCCTTATGAGTCTAAATATTTGCCTTTTTTTAACAATGATCACACAAAAGATGTTTTATTGACTCCATAACATAAATCTGTTCAAAAATAAGCCTCACTGAGTTTGATAGTGTTTATTTTTACTTAAAAATAGAAATTTTAGTCTTAAAGTTTATAATATCCATTGGAGTATACAAGCTTTGAAAAATATTTGGAATAAGTACTTTGGATCTTATGTAAGATCAGCACTGCAGTTCTCTCATATTTCTGGTTTCCATGCAAGCATGAAAAAAAATTCAATTGTTTTTGGAGGTTGACATTAGAGTGAATGCAACTCTTAAAGCAAGCGCAACTTTTTTCAGTGTTTGAACAAAACAACTAATGAATAGCAGAGGTGTCCTGTGCTGATGAGAGATTCTAAATCATGCTTTGCAGCATGAATAGCTCCAATTTTCATACATTACAGAAATTCACATAAATAAAATGAATTGCATAACGACTAGGTTATATTACTGTTTTTATCCTGCAAAATTGTCTTTGAACTTTCTTAGCTATGGAATAGTGTACAGTGGCTTGATTCACGTAGCTCACTTAAGTTTCGAGCCATGATCATTTATAAGCCATAATGACAGGGTTCACACAGCACATACCCAGATTCAACAAGTCTTATAATGCTTAGCATATCATGAGTGCCAGAAGAGTATATTTTACTATCTTAGTTCTGTGATTGCATTACCTACCTTTTGTTGATTGCACACTCATCTTAATTTTAGACAGAGTTATTTGTGCATGCCTTTAAGGATCAGCTTATCAGAAGTGCCCTTTTAGCTTTATACACAGCCCGCCCTGGTTGTGTCTTAAAAAAACCAACTTTACCAAGGAATAACACTGAAGAAAATAGCGAACAGCAAAATCAGGATCATCCATCACAAATCAAGAGACAAGATTCCATACCTCACCACTCAGAATATGATGAGGAAGAGTGGGTAAGTAACTTCAAAATCACATTTTTGTCCTCTAACTTTTGTTCAATTGCAAATTATTTATATTTGGAGAGTTTGCCAGTTTAGTTATGTCAATAATACTGGATTCATGTGACACTAAAGTAATGATTGACAGGTTTTGATTGCAAAAAGTATGCTTCCAGTATAGTATACTTCATGTGATATTAAAGTAGACACTTAACATTTATTATGCCTTCATTAAACTACATATTAATATTCAATAAGTATTTTAACTTGAATCCTGATACCATGCACTAGCGGTAGTTTGCATTTTTTTCTGACACTAATTTATAAATATACTATGAAAAGGATTTCAGCAAGACTAAATGCCTGTGGTTCAGAACTGTGACCATTTCTTTTTCCAATGTAACATGCAGTATTTCAATGATTAATAGTAATTCTATACATTAAACAAAGTACTTTATTTCATTACAACTGCCATAGTTCATCTTTACTCATTTTTATTTTTCTTCTTGCATATATCAATTTTATTATTTTTCTTCTGCTCATCAGGAATTGCCTCCTAACCAAGCTGCTTTGTAATTTTTCCATTGTTCTAATCCTCATAATTTTAATATATGTACACGTATACATTTCAGAATTATGAAATGAAAGCTATGAGGTTTCATCTTCTATTCTAGTAAAAGGCCAGTTGAGCAAGAAAGATCCAAATATTGGTACTGTTCTGTCTCAGATCCAAGAAAGAAACGCAAATGATTTCTGATCTACTCTGAATATGTGGAGGGCTTGTAGTTTTGTTTTATTTAAGTGGTGTTTCTTGTTTACAAAGGATGTATATTTAAAGTTTTATAAGTAGTTTAAGGTTTTATAAGTATGAAGTTGGAGTATCTATTTTACCCTTATATTTTTTGAAAGATATGACATAGAATTCTTAAAACACTATTGCCTAACCTAGTGATCTCTTGAAGTAAGATGATAACAACATAGAACAGTGGTTTCAAATCCAGAAGGAGACCCATCGTAAAAAATATATTTATAAAATAGTTTGGTTATTGAGAAAGCGTATTTTTATGGTTAAAAATAATTTAACTGAAATTGAGTTTTAAAAATTCAGTTTTATTCAAAGTTATAGAAATCGAATCTTTACAAATATCCAGACACTTCTCAACCTGAAAGTGTTACCTTGTCGTAGTTGAAACTAAAAACTTACTTTTTTTTTGCTCTATTTTCACCACGTTTCAAACACAGTATTTTCTTTTTAGACAGATGCCAAAATTTAGCTTATAAGATACCTTGAACAAAATAGCATACTAGAAAATCCTGCCTATTTCTTCATTTTGTATTATAAAATTCTGTTTAGCATTCAACTGGAAGAGTAAATACAGTATGTTCTAGCATACACATTTCTCATTCTTATTCTTGTGCCATATCCATCATTGGATGTTGGCAATCATGTTGGCAATCCTATTTTTATCAACAGCTGCACAAAAAAGTGCTGTTGAGTTTTGTCCAAACCAGTCCCTTGGATTTTGAAGCCATGGTGTTCTTCTTCTGCCTGGACCTCGTTTGCCTTCAATCTTTCCTTGGAAGATTAAGTGACGTATGCCATATTTTTCTGGTTGTTGCATCACATGTCCAAAATATTCTAATTTTCACTTTTTTATGGTTTTGATTATTTCCCTTGGCTCTCCCAGGCAGCTTATCACCTCCTCATTTCTGATTTTGTCAACCCAACTTATACATAGCAGCCTCCTGAAAATCCACATTTTAAATGCTTCTAGTCTCTTCAAGTGGCTTTCTGTCAGACACCAGCTCTCCATTCCGTAGAGCAGTGTTTTTCAACCACTGTGCCGTGGCACACTAGTGTGCCGTGACATAGTGTAAGGTGTGCCGTGGGAGAATTACTTTATATATAGTCAATATAGGCACAGAGTTAATTTTTTTTAACATTTTCTAATGGTGGTGTGCCTCGTGATTTTTTTCATGAAAAAAGTGTGCCTTTGCACAAAAAAGGTTGAAAAACACTGCCGTAGAGCATACACATTTGTTTGACCCATTTAAGTCATGCTAATTCATTTTATAAAGTATGGCCTGAGAAGAAACTCTTAAACATAATTATTCCCAATCCTCTCTCCCTCTTTCTTTTTCCACCAGCTTGTTGTCTTTAAGCCTATTTCATTCTGGACACATTCGCTCTCCCTCATTACACTCATAATGTCTATTTAAATGTAACTCCCACCGAGTCCACAAATATGCTAACCTCTAGTATCAGATTTCAGGATTACATATCATAATTTTGGTTTGTCAGCCTTGCAAACATCTCTTCACAATAGTTCTTTAAAGATGATCTGAGTGAGAGTCACTACTATGCATGGAGAGAGTGGATGAATAATCATATCATTTCAGGTCTGTGGAGTATGAGGTGTTAAATAGAAGCATTTAATGGACAAAAAATAATGGGAAAAATTGTGGGAAATTAGTGTAGAGTAGACTACTTTGAGAAGATTGGTCTATTTAGATTATGGAATAGGAGCATGGGATAGATGAGAAGAAGTGGTTTAGGCATAAGGCCAGGATTCCAGTGCAGGTCCTCTGCTGGGGAGGAGACCTGTGAGAAATCTGGGAAATAGAGGATAACAGGAAGATTTTTCAAGAGACTTATAGAAGGAGATGTGATAGGAGGTATATGGCAGATTGTTCTAGGGGGAAAGTTATCTTGCAGATTGGTGCTGGGCACTTTTAACTCAGTGTAGGTGCCCAGATTGGCAAAAGCATTTGATCTGTAAGTACCAGAATTGTTGTTGGAAGATAAAGTGTTCATCTATTATTTGCCATAAATAAATAAACAGACCTATATTATTCTATATGTCTCTTGGAAACTATTCAGAGACTGAAATTAATTCATAATGCAGTAGCCAAACCTAGTTAGTGAGAGCTGCTATATGAACATAAAACTAATGTTGTAAGCCCTGCATTGATTACCAATTAACTTCTGGATACAATTCAGAATGCCGATTTTGACCTATAAAGATTTTGACATCCACTGTCTCATGACAAGGGGAAGTATGTACTGACCATTACTGGCTTCAAAGCATTGTGCTTTTTAAGGTGTGTTATATGCCTGGTACACATGTAAAAAGAGTGGGATTTTGTTTATCCAGTTTTTCTTGCCATTTAAAGCCAGTGATGGCTGCTTCAGATGTCCTCTCAGAGTCATCTAGTTCAGGTAGAGCCTAGCCACTGGATCAGCACTTCCTGAGTAAGAATGTTGAAGGTTATCTCAAGTATGAGATTTGGCAGGATCCCTGGAACTTCCTTTCTTAGAGATGTTAAAAGCCTTATGGGAAGAAAACTTTTTGTGATTTTCATTTAGTTTTGTAATCCATTATTTTATTTTCTATTACCTCAATTATTGTGTTATGTTGATTTTAATATATGTTGTCAATTGACATGAGTCCCTTAGGAGCACAGGTATATAAGAAGGTAAGATATTATAGGTAGTCCTCACTTAGCAACAATAATTGGGACCAGCAACTTAATTCCGAAGCCTTCTGGAAAATCATGTGACCACAATTTAGGATCTTTATTACTTTCTTCTCTATTAATTCTGCTCATACTCTGGTTTCTCTTCAGATCGTATAAATCTTTCGCCTATTAATTCTGCTTGTTGCAAACTGTGTAAATGGCAATAATATGACTGTGAGACATTAGATACCTAAAATGCAAATATTGGTCATAAGATTGTTATACAGTATGTTTAATTCAAATAGTCGTAGCACCAAGCAGTAAAGATTATCTGTAATACATGGTTTTACGTTTGCCACCCTCTGTAATCTTGAGACAAACTTTCTTGTCAGTATCCTCTAATTTTATTCCCCTAACAACAGTCCTTTGGGGCTGGGTGGGGTGGGGTTGGTCCACTGTTCCTGGATGGCTCAGTGCTTGAAGGGACACTTGAACGTAAGTCTTCCCAATCCATGTCCAGCACTTTAACCACCACAGATAAAAAAAGAATTGATACCAGGTGAATTAAAATGTTCTGCAATTAAATCGCAGAAATAATTTTGTGTGTTTTAGGAGAACAATTCTGTAAATGCAAAAATGGCATAAAAGGGGAAAAAACGCTTTTATATTTTTGTTCATAAGCAGCAAGGGGACTTGGTGGTTTGAAATCTAGTGTAGTTTCTCTTTCTTCATTTTCCTTCTGCAGACGGAATAAACTTAATCTTGGTTTGCATTCTGCTGAGCCAGAACCTGTCTGCCTTCCTGGATCAGATCAGAAATCCATCAGTTTATCTGCCAGTTTATGGGAACAGTAGCCAGAAGGATACCCATTACTGTTTTATCAGCACAATATCATTTTTCTACATTTGTTTAATTTTCTTCTTTAAGATGTAAATGATATTCATTTACATCAAAGTTCTTGTATGATATTCAGTATTATGATAAAAGCAGTTTGGTTTGGTTTGGTTTATTGGATTTATATGCTGCCCTTCTCCCAAGGATTCAGGGTGGCGTACAACATTAAAAAAAACCCCACATATTACAAAAGTTAAAAAGGAAATTAGATAGAGTATCCAAAAACAAACCCAATTAATATTAACAATAACTCTTAAAAATTAGATTAAAATTAACAATTAAATCAATCATTTATTTTATTTTTTTCAGGCCGGGCTGGCTTGCTGGAAAAGCCAACTTTTTAGGGCGCGTTCGGAAAGACTGGAGGTTGGGGATTATGCGAAGCTCCGGGGGCAGCTCATTCTAGAGGGAAGGCACTCCCACAGAGAAGGCTCTCCCCCTGGGGTCACTAGTTGACA